GCTTCCCACAGGACAAGGCACCCAGCATTCCTCCAATTGTCAACAAGGACCCAAAAAGGGAATACTGCAAAGCCAAGAGTTGAAAATCAAAGAATGTCTTATATACATATTTAAGCCAAAAACAGAGTTCTGTAACAGAAAAGAAGTGGCAATTTATGGCTTTATTCCATGTGGATTTGGCTTTATCGTTGTGCTTCTAGGAATATCTGGTTCCCTGTGTTTCTTTTTTTATCATTTAGACAAATCAATTTAAAGTGAGGAGAAAATGGGAGTTACCTCTGCTACAGTAAGACCCAAATCTTTCTTGATTCCGGACTCCGTAGGCGATGAATACCCAACCTGAAATATGAAATTTTTTGGAAGAAACTCTCCATCAATGTCTCTGAAACCATAAGTTTTTATCCAACTCAGAAATCCATGTAGTCATTTTCTCTGTTTCACCCTGTTTCATTAACCACTTATTTACGCCCTGTTTGGATTTCTGAGTTCTGTAAGATTTTATTAAACACAATGCAAATCAACTTACAACCCATCCAAAATCAAATGAACTGCAAGTCACGGCAAAGATGCTAAGAATAAGAATTGGTGTCGCCCTGCCCTCTGCGGCTGCCACCGGACCATTACTGATCTTACCGTGCTCCCTTCTATCCAGCAAAGACTCTGTTCCCGACCCATCTTCTATTTCATCTCTCTCCATGCTGAAAATTTCGAAACGAAAATTTTATCTTGTTAAAAATGATTTTCAGATTATCTTTTAGTAATTTCAGAAGATTTATGGGAATTCAAACTCACCGAACACCAAGATTTCGTTCAGATCATAATGTTGGCAACATGGGTAGCTCTGCACGTGTTTCTATATTGTCTCTGTTTTCCGTTCAGCTCCTTGCTTATCTAACTCATGTTACTTTCTTATTCTTAACTGCAACTCGGAAATAGTAAGTTTTTGCTCTGTTAATGAGGGAAACAGCTGGTCAACTGTTTGTCATACTTTCCCTTTTTGGTATCACAAGGTGACTAGAGTTAACTACCAGTCAATCGTTGACTCACCTAATGGATTAGATATTTCTATTTTCTTCAAGGCCATTGCCTTAGGACAAAGGTAAAATGTTTTTGTCAGAAATTATAAGTCTATAAAAATGTTTCAATAAAGTATTTATAACATATTTTTAAAGTATTTACTCATCGACATCTTATCAATATCTTTTTAACATGTTTATCCGACGAAAACCAAAAAAAAAAAAAAAATAGTAGATCGCGGGCATTAAACCTTAAATGAAAAAACTCTCACCCGCAATTTCGTTACAACTAAGCATAGATTATAAATGAGACAACATGGAAATGTTATGACCTTAATTATAATTTGCATGTTAAATAAGAGAACTGGATTGATTACTTCAAAAATTTTGAGTTGATAAATGAGAAAATGATAAGAGCTAAGATCTAAATATATAACTGTGATTTCTAAGTTTCTTTTGTTCATTGTAAATCCGGATTTTACAAAAAGGTTTTGCATATAACTATTCAGAACAGGAAGAAGATCATGTCTAATGTTGAACACTAATGGTCAATACAAACTGATCTTTTCTTTTTTCTTGAATGAAAAAAAGAAAAATAGAATCTGAAGAGTGAGTTTTCTACACGATGACGATGATGGCACCTTGAGAAATCATGGATACTGCTTCCTCTGCATAATTGATTACTGAGTAATTGAAGCTTGTATTTCTTCTAGGGTTCTTTTCTTTGTCTCTGGTACCATCTTTGCTACAAATATTATACCCAATGCAGAAATGGCTGAATAGATGAAGAATATCCCTGAATTGCACTCAGTACATGTTAAGTTAGATGATAAATATATTCTACAAATTATTAATTAAATTTCTAAAATGTTGTTTAGGTTATTGTCGACTACGAAAATGTTTCTGTTACAGTTTAATTATGAACTTAAAGAATTATTTCAAAAAAAAAAAAAAAAAAATCACGGACTTAAAAAGATTATCTAAAGACGCAATTTTTTTCATGAACTTTTTAAAGAAGTAACAGGAAATTTTACGAAAAATTCACCTGATGAGCTCCATTCAAATATGAAGTTGAAGGAGAAGGAAACAAGCCAGTTAAATGTCCAGCTGATAAAATTCACAACGCTTGCAGCTGAAGCCTTTATGTTTAGAGGAACTATCTGAAATTCATAAAACCATGTAATTCAATTAATTTCAGCTACAAAAAGAAAAAAAGTTAATTTTTGCGAATTAGTTTAACTATTCAGCGAAAAACATAGTGTCCTACCTCTGAAACTATAATCCATGGAACTCCTCCGATCCCGAATGATATAGCAAATATGAACATCTGAGTTTCCATATTGCGAAATTAGATTTCCAGAACTATTAGACTCAATAAAAAAGGTGGAAGAATGACTGTGTGTGATTATTGAATTAGAGGGTCATATATATATATATATATATTTATATTGTTGGGGGTAATAAAAGGAAATATACAATTGATTATCTATATAGGTATTTACTTTTATATTCCCAAAATTATATTTTCCTATTTAATAAATATTTTTCAAAACTTCCTATTAAGGTGGTGAATAGATATGATCCATTAACAATCAAAATTATTATCTAAAATCCTAGATTACTCAACCCTTTAGTTAGTACATCAGCAAATTGTGAGGTGGTGGGTATATATGGCCTGCAAATCACACCACTATCCAATTTCTTCTTGATAAAATGTTGTTTATCAATTTCAATATACCTGGTTTTGTCATGCTAAACCAAATTGTGTGCTATATTAACTGTTAACTTATTATCACAGTAGAGCCTCACAGGCCCTTCCTATTCAAT